CCTCGAACTCACAGAGATCCGCCTGGCTCTGCCTCCCGAGTGCTGGGATTAAAGGCGTGCGCCACCACCGCCCGGCTAATATAAAAAGTTTTAAAGTCCCATTATAATAGAAAGCTGAATAGACTCTCCAAACTATCTAAACCAGGACTAAAGATACTGGTGATTCCTCAGCACTGCCAATCTCATTTAGCAAGAGGAGGTGGTCTTGTCAAGATACACTGCTGATAAATTTGAGAGATCTTAATTATAAAACTTACCCCTTTTCTAGTCTGCCTCATACTCAAAATGCACTAAAATTATGAAACAGTTTCTTGTCATCTAATCTTGAGCTAATATATCATACAATTAACTTATTATAGTTTAAAACAATTTCCATCGTGGATTCACTGTATCAGGTATTGAGCTACACAAGAACATCGTCATACAAGTATATCCCGCACATTAAACACATATCCTCTCTATCTCTCTCCATTTTACTACCCTCCCTTAGTTCCTTTGTTTTCCTAGAAAGTTTTGCTCCTGTTTTCATGTCACATAATATAAATGATTTTATGTATACAAGTGAGAAAAACATGATATTTGTCTTTCTGAGACTGGCTAAATTCACTTAATGTGATTATTTCCAGCTGCATCCATTTTCCTCCACATGACATAAGTTTGTTTTTCATTATAGATGTTTTAAAAATCTCTTTTTTCGTCACTCCTTTGCAGGTGGACCCCTAGGTTGGTTCCATCACTTAGCTATGGTGGGTTGTTGCAGTAACAGGGATGTACATGTCTTATGGATGTACATGTCTTATGGATGTACATGTCTTATGGATGTACATGTCTTGCTTGCTGCTGACTCAGAGTCCTTTGGTTAAACACCCAGGAGAGGCACAGCTGGGAATGTAAATTATCCAGCTACTTTGGAAATGAGTTTGGAGGTTCCTCTAAAAAAGAAAAAAAAGTTCTACCATATGGCCTGACTATATATACCTTAGTAAGACAGACTTCTGTGGAAAACAAACAAATAAAATCATTTTCCCACTGAAATAAAAAAAAAATCACAACAGAAATGTGTTCTAATTTCTGAGTGATCTTCAGTTAGCACTTAAAAAGTTTCTCTGTATCATGCAAATAAATATTCTATGGAAAGCATTAAAATGGATTCTTCAGGTTTAGGGGAGGCTATAATGTCTCTTGGATTTGTCTGTTTAAAGATTTGGTCTTAACTATCATATTTCTCCAGCACAGGCAGATGTGCTAGCATGGGGCTACTCTTCTGTTGCCTTGAAACAGTAGAACCTGAGGCAGAAGATCAGAGTTTAAGATGAGGGAGTCTGATTCTGTTTCCTATATCATCATGTACCAGCCAAGTATGCTCTTGGGAGGAAAACGCACTTTCTATTGTTTTTCTGCTTGGGATACTGGAAGAGTGTGAGGTCCTCGCTGTATGGATATGAGGAAACATTTTGTTTCTCTTCTTTTTATACCTTATCTCAGCCCCGAAGAAATAGTCATGAAGTATTTATAGTGAGAATAACTTATTGAGTGCTCCCAAACTCTTTTTATATAAACTAGATCCACTATTAGAATTGTAAGTAACCTGCCACACATTCTGGAAATAAAGATTTTTGTAGATTTGAATAACAAAATTAGATAAGCAACTTCGAAGAAAATATATGAATGTACTTATTATTGGTGTGCCAATGAGTTTTTCCCAGGTGTTTTTCAAAACA